TATGATTAAAGGCCCTATCTCCGGCCTGGAGACCTACCTGCCACTCATCCACTTCAGGTCAAGCCCAGAGGCCTGGCAACCCTCTACATGATACTGCCACTCAGTCTGCTGCAATCAGCCATCTGATTTATGGCTCCTCCAGATTTTGGAGGGGCCACAGGAAGCCAGCCTGAAGAAGCACGCAGGGCCCGAGGTTCACCTAGAGCTTCATGTGTCCGTCACAGCGAACCAGTGAGAGATTTCCACAGCATCCGAGGAGCAGCTGACTCCCAGGACTTCCAGAGAGGAGGGTGACCAGATTGCATGCTTTGCATCTGAAAGCTTCATATGTGGTCTGGGCTGTGTTTCCCTTGCCTCCTTGCTGCAGAAATTTGGGGAGGGCCATAGCTCAGTGGAAGAACACAGAATACAGAAGGTTCCAGGTTCAATCCTCAGCATCTCCAGGTCAGGCAGAAAATGCCCTACCTGCCTGAAACCCTGGAGAACCACTGCCAGTCACCATAAAGACAATTCTCAGCTCAACGGCCTGGCTCGGTATAGGGCAGCTTTCTATGAGGCCACATCCACACCCTGCATTTAAATTGCACCTAAAATGCACATGGCTTCCTCCAAAGAATCCTGGGAATTGTAGTTTGTTGGGGGCACTTGGAAATCTAAGTCTGTGGGCAGTAAACTACACATCCCAGGATCCTTGCTGGCATCCTAGGGATTCTGCTTCCATGGGGACTAAATGGGGACGGCAGCAACAATCTATAGAAAAAGCAAGAAGGGCTGTGACTCAGTGGCACACCATCTGCTTTGCATGCAGAAAATCCCAAGTTCAACGCCTATGACCATCTCGCTCTGCAGTTCTGATTTACTCAATGGTGTTTCCAAGTTGCAGTTTAGGCCCTCTGTCCGTTGTTTTCCTGAGCAACTGGAGGCTCCCTGGCATCTGCAAACGGCTGGCTCTGAGAGGGCGGGCAAGCAGCGCCAGGCCGGGCTCTGCAAACACTCTTGGCGCTTTCCTAGCAATGGGTCTGATGCCAAAGCTTTGACTCAGCTGCCAATTAAAATATTGACTCAGAGATGCAGAGGGTGCCCCAGCTCTTCGTCACCCATCTCAGGTGCAAGAACCTTGTCTCCGCCGCCAGTTTAGCAAGAATGGCCACCATCACCTTCCTCCTGGCAATGGCCTCCAACCTCCTCCTTGACCTTTGTGTCCAGGATCCTCAGTAGAAAGCGGTAGAGAGCAGGGAACACACCAGGGCTTGCAGCCAAAGCTGCTTTGTAACCAAATACGAAACTGGGAAAAGGTTGTGGCTCGGTGGATGGACCGCCAGCCTTGAATGCAGAAGGTTCCTGGTTCCATCCCCAGCATCTCCAGGTAAGACTGGGAGAGAGACCTCCAGTCTGAAACCCTGGAGAGCTGCTGCCAGTCAGTGTTGACAATACTGATCTAGATAGACCAATGTTCTTTGGACTTGCTATAAAGCAGCATCCAACATTCATATGTTCACAGCTTGGGTCAGCTCTGGGCAACATCAGGCATTTCTAAGTGCCTTAAGAGTAGCCAAAGACGACCCACTGCCATGCTTACTTTGCACAAAGCACTCAAGACAGACCCTCCAAGTGTCCCTATTTTCCAGGGACGTCCCTGATTTATAGAGGACGCCCCAGTTTCTGATTTGATTCCAGAATGTCCCACTTTTCCTTAGAACGTCCCTATTTTCATTGGAGAAAAGTTGGAGCGGATGGAGTTATCTGACCCCTGAACCATCTGAAGGCAATGCTATATTAGGAAGTTTTTAAAAAAATGTTTAATGTTTTATACAGTATTGAGTCAGTGGCTCATGTGCTTCTGGTTTGCACTCTTTATAAAGCTTTGAGGAGTGAGGTTATTACCCCTCTGTTATTGTCCATGCTGGGTCGCTGAACCATTGCTACTGTTTCCTTTCTTTTAGCAGATCAAGATGATCAGGTGACAGCAAAAACTGCAAGGTTTTTAGCAGGGCCAATTAGAATAAGATTTGTTATTTGATTATGGATGTAAACCCTCCCAAATGTATTTTCTATAGTTAAGTTTTTACCTCTTATCTTCAGTACATCTTATTTTATTTCATTGCTATGGCTAGTGGCTGATGCAAATAAAGATTTTTCTGATTCTTTAATGTTTTATTATGTTTTTATATATGTTGCAAGCTGCCCAGAGCGGCGGGGGCAACCCAGTAAGTTGTGTGGGGTATAAATAGTGAAATTATCCTTATGGAATGGGACGTCCCTATTTTCATCGTAGAAGTGTTGGAGGGTATGTCAAGATGATCAGAGGCAGCAGAAACCAGCTGTGGGTTTGAGGGAGCCCTCAGCAAAGTGCCTTCTAGTGAGCCCCTTGTTACATTGCTGGTCCCCTTCCCACATGGCTGAGCCTAACAAGGCAGCGGCAGGCAGCAAAGCAGCAGCGGCGCTCCAATCAGCAGCAGGCAGCCTGGCCTGGGAGCTGCCATTTTCATTTCCCATAATGCCTGCAGTGATGTGACCGTGCAGCCACTGTGGGGAATTGAAATTGCGATTCCTGGACCCAGCTGCCTGAGTCTACTAAGAGTGTAAAGGACAGGGGCACCTCATCTGTTCAGAGTACCTTGTTGGGGGGGGGTGAATTAAAGTGCCTTTGCAGCTGCCTGGCTGTGGCAAGTGCTGGTACATGAGAGAGAGAGAGAGAGTAAGAGAATTCCATTTTCATTCTTCACTCCTTGCAAGCAAAGAGTGCATCATTCGCAGGGACCTCCGGGATCCTGCAACTGCCCAGCCAGAACTAACCAGGTCTCAGTAGGGGCTGGGCTGGTTTCAGGAAGAGGACATGGACTTTTTAGATGTCTGAAGCACCAATAAAGCAACTCAGGATCGGAAGTCCTGTCTGTTTTAACTTACTTTTTTATCATTTAAAAAACAACTGGGGGGAGTGGCCACCCAAATTGGATCTTCCCTTCCTTCTCTGTGCTGTTCCGTTGCAGAAGGCAAATCTTTGGGGGGAAGAGGGTGCGATTTAGGGGAGAGGGTGCGATGCAACGCGAGTTCCTCCAACAGCTGCTTTGAAACGGAATTATTAGACCATTGACTGGTCTTGTTTGGCTCTGAGAAAGTCTGCTCGCTTGAGTCCCGTAGGTGTAGCTTACTAGATGCATTCCTTGTCCTATTGCACCCCTAGATGGTGAGCTGTCCATGGTACAGCCTGGTTTCCATAGGCACATCCCCCACCCTCCTTAACATGCAGGCTGCACCGACATCTGGTGGCCACACATAGAACAGCATGACGACTCTATCGCGGATTGTATTTCTACTTATTTTTTTTCTCCGGGAATGCGTTTTTGAACTTCTAGCTGCTTTAAGAACACTGAACGTGGAACAGACTCAGAACGGGTCATCTAGCAGTGCAGTGACTTCCAACTGGGGCGGGAGGTCATGTTCTTGCCTACAAAAAGCTCATGCTGCAGGAATCGTGCAACTTTTTAGAAGACTCTTCGTTGCTTCTACCCACCCCCACGCAAAGAGAAACTTTTTTAACCAACCTACCCCGTTAAAAGAACAGCTGTTTCAATCCAATGATGTTGCAAAGAAACTACCTTTAACCCTTGCAAGTCTGTGCAGCAGCAAAGTGCAGTGTAGACAACTCCCTTGTGATATCCCAGTTGGTGGGCGAGGAATCTTTGGTCGACCTGATGTTGCTGAACTACAAATCCCATCATCCCTGGCCTTTGACTATTTTTCTGGCGGGAGTTATAGTTCAGGTCCCCCTGCAGCTGCTAGAGAAACTCTCAATTACCTAGAGATTGAGCGGGTTCCTGGGATGGATTTTGCAGCTTCTACTGCCACCTGCTGGCAAGAAGAGTATATGGCCAAGGATGGTCTGAATTACGTTGGGGTTTGCCTATGACGCACAGGGAGCGAGGTGCTGATCTCAGATGTCTCCGGAGTATCGTAGTTCAACAACTACTCCCTGACCTACAGTAACTGAGGGCCAAGCCAGATGCCACAAGACTTTAAACCACATGACTGCCCAATTCACATATAAAGCAGTGGGGGCAGGGAGGGGAGAATCTTTCTCCCTTCCCAGTTCTGATTTTTATTCATTTATAGTTGGAGAAAAAACATAAACAGCTCCATCTAAAACTCAAAAACAACAATGTGGTATATCAATTAAAAATATAGATAAAATCAGTGACTCCGTCCAGCCCAGCATTGTTTACACTGACTGGCAGGAGTCTCTCCCAGCCCAACCTGGAAATGTCAGGAATTGAACCCGGGACATTCTGGGTGTAAAGTAGATGCCCGACAATGGACCTATAGTCTTTCCCCTGTGATGTTGATGGAAGAAAGGTAGTCAGGTGGGAAGCACAGGAAGGTGCATTATTCCAAGTCAGACCCGTGGCCTATCGAGCTCAGTATTGTCAACACGGACTGATAGCAGGGTTTCAAGTCAGAAGCCCCTCCCACCTCCCTACCTGGAGACATCAGGAACTGAACCTCTGCAAAGACCATGCAGAGGCATCATCAAGGCTCAGTCCCCCACCCCCAGATAAAAACACAGCAGTGGAATATAATGGAGGGGACAGGACCAGAGAGCTGGGAAGTCAAAAGGGCCAGAGAGTGACCCAGGAAGAAGAAGAGGAGGAGGAGGAAGAGGAGGAGGAGGAGGAGTTTGGATTTGATAACCCGCTTTATCACTACCCTAGGGGGTCTCAAAGTGGCTAACAATCTCCTTTCGCTTCCTCCCCCACAACAAACACTCTTTGAGATGAGTGGGGCTGAGAGACTTCAAAGAAGCGTGACTGGCCCAAGGTCACCCAGCAGCTGCATGTGGAGGAGCGGGGAAGTGAACCCGGTTCACCAGATTACAAGTCTACCGCTCTTAACCACTACACCACACTGACTGTGCAGGTAAAGGAGAAAATAATGTGACATGTTGACTTGAAGGCCCTCCCCCAAACCCCATCTCAGAAACCACAGCAAAGCAGGTCCTTCAGCAGAAGTGAAAGACTCGTTTTATTTGAAGACAGAAGTCTGGGCATGTATATAATCAGCTCGGCAGGAAAAGTCATGCAGAATCGTGGCCCCAGCGCCACCCGCCACCATCACCCGTCTTCTGCCAGCCCTTTCTGTGGCCAAGCCAGCCTCATTCAGAGCTGGTGCTCCACCTCCTCCACCCGGGAAGAGACCACCTTGCCATCCACCAGCTCTTCAATGAGAGTCTTCACCCGGCGGCTCGAGCAGGGCTCTGTAAGGATGGGAAGAACAGCCAAGTTAAGTTTTTCTCATTTTTTCAGCCTTAAGTCTAGTTCTGAAAGACCTACATTGGCTCCCAGTACGTTTCCGGGCACAATTCAAAGTGTTGGTGCTGAGCTTCAAAGCCCTAAACGGCTTCGGCCCAGTATATCTGAAGGAGTGTCTCCACCCCCATCGTTCAGCCCAGACACAGAGGTCCAGCTCCGAGGGTCTTCTTGTGGTTCCCTCCCTGCGAGAAGTGAAGCTACAGGGAACCAGGCAGAGGGCCTTCTCAGTAGTGGCACCCGCCCTGTGGAACACCCTCCCATCAGATGTCAAGGAAATAAACAACTATCTGACTTTTAGAAAACATCTGAAGGCAGCCTTGTACAGGGAGGTTTTTAATGTTTGATGTTTTATTATGTTTTAAATATTATGTTGGGAGCCGCCTAGAGTGGCTGGAGAAACCCAGTCAGGTGGGCAGGGTATAAATAATGAGGAGTTGTTGTTGTTGTTGTTGTTGTTGTCCACATTGCCATGTCAAATTGCGGGGGAATAGTTTTATTTTCTTTTTTAAGTCCTCATGAAAACCCATCAGCATTTTAGTGTGAATTCCTCCAGCCATCTGCACGTTTGTATGCAATTTTGGCTAATGCACACATTTATTTATTTTTGCGAAGCGGTTTCCTCTGATCAGTGCATCGGCGTGTGCTATTTCCACTGCAGTGTGCATTTCTGTCCACGTGTCATCCCAGCAGATGCATTTTTTGACACATCGCTTGGCTGGAGAACTGCGATGCAAAATCCAGAGAAGTGTGTGCACTGAAGCTATTGAGAGACCTGTCCCTTTGGCTCATGTTCCAAGTCAGGCTGTCTTTAGAGTCTGGAAAGATTCCCCGTCCCCCAACACACACACACACACAACCCCAGGACAAACTGCTTAGACAATGCCTGATGGCTTGCTTGTTTTCTCTTCTCCTTCTACAGACGTGTGGCTTGACCCCCTTGCTCAAGCCGTTGTGCTGCCGTACTCCTGATCTCAGCTTGTGTCCTAGACTGTGTAACTGCAAGGGGCTGGCAGAAGGAAACGGCTTCCTTTTATGGTTGGCTGTATAATATAGTCTTCCAGGTATGATGCTCATATGATGCTCATAGGCAAGACCAGGTTGGTAGAGATTGCACTGCCATCCTATTTGGAGTGGGGACATGCTGCCCCCTGGTGGGCAGACGGTGTTTCAAAAACACTGACTACTATGATCTGATTCATTCTGGGCTGATTTATTTATATTGTGCAGGGAAATCACCATACACTGATTTCATCAATGGACTTTAGGTGTGCCGTGTGTTTTACTCTAGACCAAAGACTAGGGCTGCATTCCTAGCCCCGTTTAAATGGGAATAAGTCCCACTGAATTCATTTGTGAAAGATATGATGTCCTGGTTTGCAGTTTCTACGTATGCAAAGATATGCAGGTTTTCCTAATGGGCAGCCCAGAAGCCAAGTTTTTCTGCTTACCTGGGGTAGGCGGTGGCTCAGGCTCTGACCTAAAGGGAGCAGAAAAGACCACTGGGTCAGTTAAAAGATCCCAAAGACTTGGAATCGCCTTAAGGCTAGTTTCCCCTAAAGATCTTTTGCACTTCTTCCAACCCTGGAGTTCCCCTGAACCTGCTGCTACCTCCCTCTTGCATGGGGGGGCTCCTGTTTCGGAGACATAAAGATCCACCCTCACCCCTGAACTTCAGAAATATAAGGGATGGTGACCAGCAGGTCCAGGAAGATGGACCCTTGTTTGCTTTCCCCACCCTCAAATCCTCATACCCTTCAATGAGGTGCCGATAGGTAGCAATCTCCTGCTCCAGCCTGTTCTTGATGTCCATCAGTCGCTTGTAGTCCTCCGCTTGGTTCTGGGCATCAGATCTGAGCTGGAACAGCTCGGCCTCCCTGGCGCTCACGAGATCACGCAGCCGCGAGATCTCTATCCCGTAGCGGGATTCAGTCTCGGCCAGGGAACCTTCCAGGGCCACTTTCTGGAAACAAAGAAGGAAGTTTGTTATGTACTGAGTTGAATAGGATCAAAATGCAGCAGTCTGATTGGTCCTAGAACAATGCAGCAGTATGATTGGTCTGCAGGAGCCACCCAATCCGGCTCCAGATGGAAGTGAATCCACAACCTGATTGGCCTACAGGAGAATTCCGGAATTAGCCAATCACGTGCAGCCCATTGTGTAAATAATGTATATAAAGCAGATACTTTGAGGGGACATTCATTCCTCCTCACCACTATGAGCTGAATAAAGAGCATGAGATCCACTCTCGACTCTGAGTATATTTCAAAGTTGCTTTGTGAAAGTCCCAAGCAGATGGCCGGGTGCCTTGGCAGAGTCCTTTTGTTATCTCTATTATATATCCTGTCTTTCCTGCAAGGAGCTCAGGGCTTGAGGGCACCACAGCACCTCAACCAATCTCTGGTGTCCAAAGTTGTAGGGACACATGAATGGTTGCACACTCCTATCATGCTTACAAGGGAACATGGGACGGACGACTCTCCTTCTCCAAAACCAAATCACTTCCCCAAAGTTGCCTAAATTCTGTGCCAAGGCACCTTCTGGGACCCACATACATTGTGTGAATTAAATTATGTGTCCCCTAGCCATGGGCACAGGCTGTCAGGGAGTTGACTGAAGAGGAGGAAGAATGGTGAGGGATCTCCTCACCCCCTTCTCCTGTAGCTTCCAGAGAGAAGGAAGGCAGTCTTGATTTACAGGAGGGCTTGGAGGGAGATAACAGCTCAGAGATAGGTGAACGGCAGAGTTAGGCAGAGTTAGGAGAAGGTGGAGGGGAACCAGAGCAGCTAACTGACACGTCTCTGGACAACATAACTGACCCCCCAGCCCAAAAAGACGGGAGTTCATTAAGGGTGCAAGAACAAAGAGTGAGAGACAATTGTCCGTGGATGGACACCGTAGAAGCAGGTATTGTTGCTAGAAGGGGAAGGGGGAGGAGCTCAGTGCGAGCAACTCCATTATGGAGGAATGACTGGAATTCCTTGTCTTTGGCATGATGACTGAATAAATCATACGTAAGAACTTTCTTGTTTCCTCCCTGCCTCTTGGTGCCATTGGGAGGGAGGGAGAGGATTCCTCAAGCCTGACACAGACTAAGAGATATACAGTGTGCTGGAGTTCTGTCTCTCTCTCTCTTCTAACTGGGAACTCTGTTCCAATGCACACATGCACACATAAAGGTAAAGGGTAAAGGGACCCCTGACCATTAGGTCCAGTCGTGACCGCCTCTGGGGTTGCAGCGCTCATCTCGCTTTATTGGCCGAGGGAGCCGGCGTACAGCTTCCGGGTCATGTGGCCAGCAGGACTAAGCCACTTCTGACGAACCAGAGCAGCGCACGGAAACGCCGTTTACCTTCCCGCCGGAGCGGTACCTATTTATCTACTTGCACTTTGATGTGCTTTCGAACTGCTAGGTTGGCAGGAGCAGGGACCAAGCAACGGGAGCTCACCCCATCACAGGGATTCAAACCACCGACCTTCTGATCGGCAAGTCCTAGGCCCTGTGGTTCAACCCATAGCGCCACACACCCAAATTGCACATAGACAGTCGAGGCTGTGATAGCAGACTTAAGGGCCAGAACTTGATTTTGCGTTAGTTTAAAAAAAGAGGAAGCGAAAACAGAGATTTCCAAATTCCTTGGCAAACATGAGCAACCACGGAATCCACATCACTCTGGCGATGCTTTCCGATGCACAGCCTCTTGGCAGCATGGGGAAGTGGCTGGTACTGACCATGCTGCGGAGAGACTGCAGCTCAATCTCCAAGGCCTGAGCCAGGCGCCTGAGCTCCGTGATCTTCTGCTGAGCTGCCTGAAGAGCTTCGTGGCTGACAGCAACCTCCTGGTTGAGTGCATCCATCTGCAAGACAGAAGAAGTCCTCGTTTCTGGTGCAACCTCCCCACATCCTCTTCCAGCCGGACAGCTTAGGTAGAAGGGCCTTATGGTGTGTTTTTTAATCAAATCAAAATTCTGCATCAACGTTAATTCAGCGTATTTTTTTAAAATGGCAGAGTAATTCAGCATTCTGAGCCAACCCATCTCCCCAAGCTTCCTCAGACAAAACAGACAATGCAAATTAAATGCATTTGTATGTGTTTGTTTCTCTGTATTGATGTTCTTAATTTTGCTCCCAGGGAACAATGCAGGAAACCGAATGCAAAGCGCTTAAACTTATGTTATGCTCCAACTCCGTCTGCCCTTCCTTCCCTTGGCATCTGAGATTTCACAAAACAGAGGGCACTGCCCAAACATTCTTAAGCTTAAACTCAATAAGGACCAGAAACTTTGGGAGGCGTAGGAAGGAGGGGGAAGTTATTTGAATGCTCAGCATTCGAATACGTAAATGTCAAAGCACAGAAAAGGAAGCTGCAGCTGGAGCAGAATTCAGCACATGACGTTGCCACTCTGTCTTCCAGAAATGGAAACAGATCCTGAATCAGATCTGAAGTTTGTGGAATCACAAGGTCTTGCCATTCCTGCCAGGAGAAGCCCACTCTGAACTTCATCCCTAAAAGCTGCACAGAAAGAAAATAAGATGTTCTTGCCAGCTAGATTTCTAGAAGGGAAAAGTATGCCATGTTGTTTTGGAACAGAACTACACTTCCTTAAGGTAACGGTAAAAGGTAAAGGGACCCCTGACCATTAGGTCCAGTCGTGACCAACTCTGGGGTTGCGGCGCTCATCTCACTTTATTGGCCGAGGGAGGCGGTGTACAGCTGCCGGGTCATGTGGCCAGCATGACTAAGCCGCTTCTGGTGAACCAGAGCTGCGCACGGAAACGCCGTTTACCTTCCCGCCGGAGCGGTACCTATTTATCTACTTGCACTTTTGACGTGCTTTCGAACTGCTAGGTTGGCAGGAGCAGGGACCGAGCAACAGGAGCTCACCCTGTCATGGGGATTCGAACCGCCGCCCTTCTGATTGGCAAGTCCTAGGCTCTGTGGTTTAACCCACAGCGCCACCCATGTCCCAACACTTCCTTAAAAAGGATGTTAAACCTATGCCTTCCTTGGCCAATAGTCATGGATGATAGGGGCTGTTGCTCAGCAACATCCAGAGGGCACCAGTTTGGCATAGGCTGAATATTTACGTGCAAATGCATCCCATCAGCAAGCCGCCACCTCCGCCACCTTTTGCCCCTGAGCCGTTTGTCCATCTCTCCTCGCCGAGCCTTGCCTAACCTGTGACTTGTGCAACGCCTCGGCTTCCCGGCGGTTCTTCTCCGTGACGTCCTCATACTGGTCTCGGATCTCAGCCAGCACTTTCTGCAGGTCAGCGCCAGGCATGGAGTCCACTTCCACGTTGACGGTGCCCCCCAGCCTCCCCTGGAGAGAGGTCACCTCCTGTGGGGCGAGAAGAGAGGCGAGTAGGCACATCCGTGGGGAATCGGCCAAAAGCCAGGAAGGGCTGTGAGTCTTGAAGGCTGCTCCCTGCAAGGCCCTTTCCACCTGGCCTAGGGGGTGAGGCCCACACTCACCAGCTCTACCAAAGAGGCTCCAGATGAGATTGGAGGGACATCGTTATGCCTGACAACAAAGCCTAACTAATGGACTCTTTTACCCCATCTTTTTGTGCCTGCCTAACAGCCGTGTCATGCTTATGATAAAATTTTATTCTCTTGTTAATTATGCTGTTTTAAACGTGCAGTTTATATTTGACTTCACTTAGCAGTGTCGTCGTGTGTTTTTTGAAATGTTTAAGTTTTTTGTGTTAACTTTGTTTGTGTTAAATATGTACTCTGTAGTTGACCTCCTTTGTAATGTTTTATTTTGAAATCTTTAAGGTAATATTTTAGTCTTCTGTTAATTATGTTGTTTTGACTGTATACTCTATAGTTGGCTTTCTTTGGGTTGTTTTATTGATCTTTTAATATGCTGTAAACCGCTTTGAGATTTTTCTTTAAAATATATAGTGGTATAGAAAATAAATAAATAAATAAATAAATAAATAAGGGCAGAGACTCGGTGGGAGCAAAGGTGAAATCTGCGTCCATTGCTTTCTCCGCTGCTGCCTCTGGCTTCAACCACCGCTGGCATGCGGCTCTCAGAATAGTTGAAAAAGCTTCCCGCCACTTGTGTGAAGGCCCTGCTGTTCCTGAGTCCCTACGCCCACCCAACTCTCACCTCCTTGTGGTTCCTCTTGAGGTAGGCCAGTTCCTCTTGGAGGTTGTCCACTTGCACCTGCAAGGTAGCCCGGCTGGTGTTGAGTTCCTCCAGGGCCTTGCGCAGCCCACCGAAGTCCCCCTCCACGGACTGCCGTATGGCCGCCTCTGTTTCCAACCTGAAATGGGCAAATAGGGTCTGTGCAGCATTTTTCGAAGCCGAGGCTCTGCAAAACCACATAACTGAGGGTGTGCTGGGACAATGCTTGAGGTTCTGGTTGTGTTGTCTTTTTAATATTTTGTTGGAAGCTGCCCAGAGTGGCTGGGGAAATCCACAAAATATGCACTCTTAATGGATTCTCTTGAAAACATAAAACCAAATTAAGTCTTATAAGTCTCTGAATGTTTTTTAAGACTATGCAAGTCTCTGAAAGAAGCAATGTAACATATTCTTATCTGGTGAAAACAGGCTGAAAAGCTTTGTTTATGGCATCCAACACTGCCGAAGTAGTTCGCAAACAGACGTTGTGAACAGTGATCCCGGATATACCCACTGTTTGGTGGAATTCTTCTTCAGCACAGCAGAAGGATACAAAAATGCTTCAGAAACCCATCTACAGTGGTACCTCAGGTTACATACGCTTCAGGTTACATACGCTTCAGGTTACAGACTCAGCTAACCCAGAAATAGTGCTTCAGGTTAAGAACTTTGCTTCAGGATGAGAACAGAAATTGTGCTCCGGCGGCGCGGCAGCAGCAGGAGGCCCCATTAGCTAAAGTGGTGCTTCAGGTTAAGAACAGTTTCAGGTTAAGCACAGACCTCCTGCTCCTGAACGAATTAAGTACTTAACCCGAGGTACCACTGTATATGGTGAATGGAAAAGTATAACAACAATTGCTATGGAGCAGTGGTCATAAAGTTATATTACATTGCTTCTTTCAGAGACTTGCATAGTCTTCAAAGACTTTCAGAGACTTATAAGACGTTTATTTGGTTTTATGTTTTCAAGAGAATCCATTAAGAGTGCATATTCTGTGACTTTCAGATAATTCATAAGTTTTCTGTTTATGTGATTTCATATATTTCATATTATATAAAGAGTGTATATTGATATCGTATCATTGTATTTGGTCATTGTGTTGCCTTGGCTGTTACTGTATATGCATGATGGACAGAAAGAGGCAGCTAGAATGAAGAGTCCTTACTTCACTCTGAAATCATCAGCAGCAAGTTTGGCATTATCGATCTGTAAGAGCAGCCCAGCGTTGTTCAAGGTCTCCTGCTGGATCTGCAGAGGGATGAAAGAGGTTGGTTAGTCTCCATAATGCTATCCTAGATCTCGGTATGGGGATCTTCAGGCCACCAGAGAACCAAGCCTGGATACTGACCATGCACGAGTCCAGTGTTGGAGGTATAAAAAAGGCCCAGTTTCCACCACCCAGAGGACAGGCTTCTGTTAGTGCAAGAATGAGCCCATCAGTAGGCAAAATGGTTTTGTTTTGCAACTGAAAATCTTGCACATCCCTGGAGATGCCAGGGCTTGAATTTGGGAACTCCTCCATGCAAAATGCTCTTGCCACTAAGCTATATCCCTTTGGAAGAAGAAGAATTGGCAATCATCCTGGTACCTTAGACTTCAGGTCAGTGATGGTGTTGAAATAGCTGCTCAGATCCGGAGCCTCCGTTGACGCTCGCTTGAGGTATATCTCCCGGATGTTGTTCTCCAGCTGACTGTTAGATTCCTCAAGGGAGCGCACCTAGCATATGGCAGAGGAAATCAAACAGGGTGGTGAGGACATCAGAATAAAGGGGTTGCTGAACCCCACCAAGGACAGCTGTGCTCTCCTGTAACCTGTTTTGACTTTTCAGTCTACTCACTAGAGAGTACAGTGGTACCTCGGGTTACATATGCTTCAGGTTACATACGCTTCAGGTTACAGACTCTGCTAACCCAGAAATAGTGCTTCAGGTTAAGAACTTTGCTTCAGGATGAGAACACAAATTGTGCTCCGGCGGGGCAGCAGCAGCGGGAGTCCCCATTAACTAAAGTGGTGCTTCAGGTTAAGAACAGTTTCAGGTTAAGTACGGACCTCCAGAACGAATTAAGTACTTAACCTGAGGTACCACTGCAGCTTGCAGTAGCTTTGGGGTGTAAACAGAGAAATTTCTTCTTTATCTTCCTTTTCTCAGCTGACACTCTCAACTTTCTGTAGGTCCAGGAATCTAATGAGCACAAGTCCTTGCCCGGTTGTTTCTGGGCTGTTGCTTTTAACTATTTCACTCAGTTAACAAACATACTTCCACAAACCTAAGGAACCCTTCCAAGGGAGCATAACAACAACAACCGCCTTGCTTTTTTAATGGTCTCGTTTTGCTTCCAAGCTGATCGGCACAGGACCCACCTAAGTTTGATATTAGAGGGAATGATGATAAGGTATAGATCCTTGCCTTTTTAAAAAGATCCGTAAGTGACGGTCATGGAGAATAGTAGCACGGAATGAATTGTGAATGTCGTGGAGGGTTATGCACAACATCTGACCCAGGGACATGACCCATGTGTTACAGAAGGTACACATGGACCAAGCCCTGAGTCAACAGGGAACCCAGATTCTTAACTTTCATTTTTTTTTTAAAAAAAAAAGTAAGTCAGTTGGAGATTTCTGAAGAAAGTTAGAGCCCAAAATGCGGAGGCAGCACTAAGGCTTCAGCGTCAGTAAGGACACTTAACAGTGGTTGCTAAGCTATTAGAGCAAGAGATGCAGACCATCCCCACCTGGGACTCAGGAGGGACCCACCCAGAGCAACAGAAAAACTAGCAGAAGCTACTGCAGCTGGGCAAATGCTGGACAGAGGAAGACGCTGGGAATGTCTGTGCTTAATCACGTTCCTCCTTTTCCATAATATTTTGTTCACTCATAAAATGTACTGCCTCTACAGAGTAAAACAGAACTGGCTGGCTTTGGTTTGCTTTCCTCAGAAGTAATTCTCTTGAAATAATGGCCAGGTGCTTCCTCCCTACTTAGAAAACATGTCACTAATGCAATGTCCGCCACCCAGCCACTAGTGGCCTGCTTGTCATGACTGGGCTGTTATTAATTAATATGCAGTAACCATAAGAAAAAAGATAAAATGAATCATCAAACACCTTACAGCTGCAGAAAATTAAAATCTCTGCGGGCTGTACTTTAGCACAAGGATCCTTTTTTGTTGGTCAAGGATGACTAAATGGTTTGTGTATGTGATTCGCGGAGAGTTGTGAAATCGCATGTATATCTTGCTTCCTGTTCTATATTTGGATATTGATTTCACTCCCGGGAGCTGAAGGCTTCACAACAGCCTTGTGAGGTAGGCTAGGCTGAGAGTCGATAATTCAGACGCCAAAGTTTGAAACTGCACATATTCAGAGTATTTTTTATTTTATTTTATTTATTTTTTTGCATGTTGCGATTTATCAGGGTTAGAAGCCTTATGTATATATTCCTTTACATGTCAGGACTACGAAACATTGCAATTAAAGCAAGGGGGCTGCTGTGAATGACATTACATACTTGCATTTTGCTTTTCTACACAGGAACTCAACACTGTGTACGTAATCCTCCCCCTCCTTCCACTTTTATCTTTGCAATAGGATCCTGCTACTCCTGTGATTTGTTGTTAAATTGCTTTTAATAATTATTATTTCATATTGCTGCAACCTGCCCTGAGACATTACAGTGAAGGGTGGGTAAGAAATCAAATAAGTACAGTGGTACCTCGGGTTACAGACGCTTCAGGTTACAGACTCCACTAACCCAGAAATAGTACCTCAGGTTAAGAACTTTACCTCAGGATGAGAACAGAAATCGTGCAGCAGCAGCGGGAGACCCCATTAGCTAAAGTGGTACCTCAGGTTAAGAACAGTTTCAGGTTAAGAACGGACCTCCAGAACGAATTAAGTTCTTAACCCGAGGTACCACTGTACAAATAACAACAGCCTTGTAAGGTAGGCTAATCTAAGCTAATATATGCACATTTAGCAGCAGCTCTTGCCAGTTGTCTGGGGGGGGGGTGGATCCACGTGGAATGCACTGGGTCCAGGAAATCCTACCCCCAAATCAAGTACAAGCTAACACAGAAATCAAGCCATTTATGTTGTAACTGCTCTGAGAACTGGAGGTATATGACAATATACAAATTTAAAAATTGATAGATGATAGATGGAACCCCAAAAGTACTTCCAACAATGTACTGATCTCAATAAAGGAATAACATTTTGCACTAAAAGTTCAGTCCTTGGCCTTTCTAACTGAGTAAGTCCTATTTTCCCAAGTTTCCCAGCTATGCATGATGTTGGATTTCGAGAATGGTAGGGAGCCTAAACTTGTTATAAAGCAATTCCATTTGGCAAAAAAATCCCCCCCCCCCCGTTATTTATTGAAGTATCTCATAGTGTTGAACAGACTGCATTTGCAAACATTTGACATTTCTGAAACGGTTGCTGAATGCTGAGTGTGTGAATTTGGGGTTTTCTTCCAGGGAAGATGGCGAAGCAGATCCAGCCCAAGCCAAGCTGTTTTATTGCCTGAGGCAGAACAGCAAATGATGCTTAAGACAAGGTGCAAAGTGGCCAAGTTGTTTTAGCACCACAAGAGCTCTTCTCCCTGGGTGTGAAGCTGTAATGATCTAAATAAAATAAGTAGCAATTCCCTGCCCTTTCGTGCACCTAATGTCAGCCGCCCGAGGCACATGTCTCACTCTGCCAATGGCAGGGTCGGTCCTGTGGCACAGCTGCCAACACAGACGGAGCAACAGGGTTTAGAAATCAAGCCCTGCCCCTGTTTCTTCTGCCTTCCGAAAGCGAAGCCTGAGGTAGACAGAGGGACATTTGTACCACCCATGTATCTTGAGGCCAGTTCTCAGCACCCAACTTCCCTGGAAGGAAACTCCAGCTACTCACCCTTTCCAAATAGGCAGCCAGCCGGTCGTTCAGATTCTGCATGGTGCCCTTTTCATTCATGTCAAAGATGTTCGCCTCCACACCGGCCTGCCCGTAGCGCCAGGCCAGGCCGTTCTTTGCTGGGGTGCCCCCATAGATGCTCGATGCTGTCGGAGACCTGCCTAGGCTACGCAGGCTCCCCCCTCGGGAACCCTGGATCCCTCCAGAGAAGGACTGGCTGCGGCTGGAGTAAGTAGTCATGATTCTCTCTGGCCGCAGGAGGCAATGCAGAGTGGGAGAGTCAGCAGGGTCAGTCCTGGAGAGCTCCCTTTATATAGGCAAGCTGAGGGGCAGGGCTAACTCTTAGCTGTTCCCACATTGGATCATCTCGCTGTCCTTCACAAGAAAGGCATTTGTTTTGGAAAGGGAAATGTCCCTGTAGTCCTCGCTCCCCGAGGCAGATTTGCAATGCCATTGCAACATCCATTGATCAGATTTGGACCCGGGCCAATTTGTCAATGCCAGATGGTTGCCAAGATAACCAAGATGCAATGTCCCTTTTTCGTCTCCCTGCCAGCAGCCCCTTATAATCCCAGAACCAGATATGAACAGTGGGTGCAAAAATCTCTGGAGGCATGTCCATATGAAAGGAACCCTTGGCAGGTTTGGTCCTGCAAAAACAGGCTGGAGGAAGCGGCTTGTCATGCAAGAGTCCCCGGCCGTCAGGTGTCTTTGGTTTGAAAGAGAACTTTCAGGTAGTGCATATCTTGCAACTTCCAGCTGAACTCCTGGAACTTCTCATGCCACAAATGTTCTGGGCAAGGTTTCCTGGACAGGCTGTAGCCTTCTCTGGACAGCAATGACATGGTAGGATGGAGAAACCATGACAGATTCGCACAACTGCTAGTAAAGGAGACTAACTGCCAGTAAGGGAGACTAACTGCTTTATTATAGCATCATTTATTATAGCACTATTATAAGCATCAAACACAGTGCAGACTAAGGAACTGAGCACTTAGTCTCTTGCAATTGGGGGGTGGGTATTGTGTTTGTTCATTACTATGTTATGTATTTTTGTGTTTTTATATTGTAAACCTTCCTGTGATCCTCAGAGGAAGGGCAGTACAGAAATTTAATAAATAATACTACTAATAATATCGGAAGGCTGTGCCACTTTGAAGACAGATGGTTTTGATGCAGTTTGGTTCCTGTTTCTAGGTTATGCAAACAAACATTCAACAATTATTCCCCCACCATTACTCAGCTATCACTTTGCAGAAGGTTACGTAATCTAATGCCACCTAAATCAGCCTGCTTGTTTTGATATTTCTTTCCCCCCCCACACACACATATCATCATGTCATAAGTGTTAGAATTTGCGTATTCCGTCAATGTTAATGCTTTTTGTATTTTTCTTTTATTTACCATTTCTTGTTTGTTTGTTTTTTAGCCCTGTCACTCCAGTATTTAAAATTTATGCACTTCATTTTATATGTAGCTGACAAAAACAATAAAAAATACAGTCATACCTTGGTTCTTGAACAAATCTGTTCCAGAAGTCCATTCGACTTCCAAAAACATTGGAAAGCCAAGGTGCGGCTTCCAACTGGCTGCAGGAGCTTCCTGCACTCAATCGGAAGCCGCGTCAGACGTTCGGCTTCCAAAAAAAAGTTTGCAAACCGGAACACTCACTTCCGGGTTTGCGGCGTTCAGGAGCCAAGACGTTCGAGTCACAAGGCATTCGAAAACCAAAGTATGGCTGTATTTGGGAGGGGAAAACATGTCGCAGAATACATCTGCAATAAAGCATTGCCGGGGGGGGGCGGTGCTTGGAGCCCCAGTCCCTTTTTCATACAAGATCATGGAGCATATTTGAGTTTGGATTCAGAACCATAAAATTGGCACACAGCAAAGCCTTTCCTCCGCACCAGCCCCCCCAGCCCCCGCACTCATGAAGTCCAGATCACAACATTCCCCAGTCAGGAAGGGTGGCTGGGTGGGTGTAAGGAAGGAGAGAGATTTCATGACTGCGGCAGCATGTATCTTGCTTTATTAAAACCATAAAAAGTAGATAGAAAGCTCTTGCAATACGTTGATTCCCCACCCCCACTCCAAACTGTGAACGTTCCAGGATTTTGCTCTCTTCAAAATTCAAATGCACGACATATATTTTTCCTGAAAGCCATTCTTGGCCCACACCCAAGTTAAGAGCTCAGTGGAAGAATGCTGAAAGTGAGGACAGATCACAAGAAAAAATGCAGACATTTCAAGATAGTAGAGCTTGGTGAGTAGAGGCAGGCAGGGTATTGGAAACATCAGCACAGGTATGTGGAATTTTCCAGTGTCCGGAATGTTCCGTGGGTTTTTCCACAAAGTGGCGTTCTGAATATGGAAGAAAGAATACGGAAAAATCCCTGGCCATAGCAGTTTCGGCAACACATTCCAAAATACGGGTATGCTCACATTAGAAGCTTAAAACGCATCAAGGTCATTTCCCCCCACAAACTGCATTTTAAGCACTGTGTTGTTCACATCAGAAGAATGTCTTTGCCCAACACACAGCACCATTTTGGTTTCCCTGCCCCTGCAACCCCCCTACTACTGAAACTCCTATTCACAAAGTTGTCATCTACACATGTGCAACAGCTGTCTCAAATTTCGCTTCACTGTTTCCTCTGCATTTGGTTTTCTAGCCGTACTGAAACTGGTTTTTTTGGGGGGGTGCGGGGGACACACCAAACAGCAGTGTTTGCCAACAAACTACAGAATCGATATGGATCGTGGCTAACGCTGGAGGCAGAATTAGTGGTAATGCGAACATACCCTACATCTTTGTAAGTGTGACACACTAAAGACACTAGTCAAAATAAACAGCCACAACCTACACACATCAAAGTAGCCCTAAAGCAAAGCAATAGCTTTCAATGGAGCAGTTCAAGAATACATAGGAGTGCTTTCTTTTTCTTCCCTGCCATTTGTTATTTCCTCCACAGTAGAAATTGAGACTGTAAGTGCTTTGGGGCAGAAAGCTGTTCAGCTTATGTTCCTTTGCAAAGCACCATATACGCTGATGGTTCTTTTGATGGTACTGTGACACTGTCCCTGTTAAATGGGTTTTCCTGCGGAAAAGGCAGGAGTAGGTCTCTGCTGATGAAGGGGAGGTGAAGATGGGACCCTCAAGCTGTACAGGTCAGTGGTATTTGGTAATTTAATTCACTGAAATTGCAAATGCTTGTATGCATTACTATGTGTTTACATTTGGTTGGTTGGTAACTGAATTCTAGAGCGTTCTCTAGTAGTTCTCATGCGATTGGGAGCACTGCTAAATTGAATAAAGTTTTGCAGTGCTTCTCTACTTGAAAGAAAGAGAGCAAAGCTGCAGGAGAAGGTAAAAGTAGAAATCTCTCATAGGAGCTGCAAGGCATGGCCTAATTGAGATACAGATGGCTGCGTGCTGAGCTCTGGAAAGGGAGGAAAATAAGTTGCTTGGACTTTAGAAGAAGAGGCCCATGCTTGGACAAGCATGCAACTGTAAATATTATGTTTGAATTCATCTATAGGTTTCCGCCACTTGAGGGCAGAAAGTGAGGAGGAATTAAAGAACCTTTTAATGAGGGTGAAAGAGGAGAGCGCAAAATATGGTCTGAAGCTCAACATCAAAAAAACGAAGATCATGGCCACTGGTCCCATCACCTTCTGGCAAACAGAAGGGGAAGAAATGGAGGCAGTGAGAGATTTTACTTTCTTGGGTGGCACTGTGGGTTAAACCACAGAGCCTAGGACTTGCCAATCAGAAGGTCAGCAGTTCGAATCCCCGCAATGGGGTGAGCTCCCATTGCTTGGTCCCTGCTCCTGCCAACCTAGCAGTTCAAAAGCACATCAAGTGCAAGTAGATAAATAGGTACCACTCCGGCGGGAAGGTAAACGGCGTTTCTGTGCGCTGCTCTGGTTCGCTGGCTCTTAGTCATGCTGGCCACATGACACGGAAGCTGTACGCCGGCTCCCTCGGCCAATAAAGTGAGATGAGCGACGCAACCCCAGAGTCGGTCACGACTGGACCTAATGGTCTGGGGTCCCTTTACCTTCACCTTATGTTGGAAAGTTTCAAAAAATGTAAAATTATTTTAAAGTTATTCATGGTGTTCAAGTCAGAATCTCCTTTGTTGTAACTTGAATCCATTGGTCCGAGTCCTACCCTCCGGAGCAGGAGAAAACAAGCTTACTCCATCCTCCTTGTGACAGCTCTTCAGATATTTGAAGATGGCTATCATATCTCCTCTCTTTGAAGTAGATCAGCAAATATTTTGGACTCTCGGTTATTTAATACTGACAACTGACTCGCTAGATTATAGCAGAATGAAAGGTAGCTAGGACTGGTTTTTTGTGCAGAAGGGCTGTGAGCTCTGTTGTTCTGGTGCTCAAAAACCATTCCAGGGTTTAGAATTTAATGAAAAGCATAACACTTTTGCACCTGTTTCTGGATGGTGGATCTCAGGGTATAGATTCCGCAAACCTGAAGTCTGCCTTCCCCGCCATAGAGTAAAAAATAGGTAAAGGACCCTAGACGGTTAAGTCCAGTCAACGGTGACTATGGGGTTGCGGCGCTCATCTCACTTTCAGGCCGAGGGAGCTGGCGTTTGTCCACAGATAGTTTTCTGAGTCATGCGGCCAGCATGACTAAACCGCTTCTGGCGCAACGGAACACCGTGATGTGACGGAGACGCCATTTACCTTCCCACTGCTGTGGTATTTATTTATTTACTTTCACTGGTGTGCTTTTGAGCTGCTAGGTTGGCAGGGGCTGGGACAGAGCAACAGGAACTCACCCCATCGTGGGGATTTGAACTGCCAACCTTCCAATCAGCAAGCCCAAAAGGCACAGTGATTTAGACCACAGCACCACCCACGTCCCTGCCATAGGACACCCACCACAGCATCCCTATTCAAGCAGAGCCCTGACATCTCCAGCAGAGAGAGGCTGCAGCAGCTATCAACCAGCCAGTCCTACTAAACCAGGCTCTTCCCCCAAGTAAGGAGGTCATTGTGGAAAGAGGCTTCTGAGTATTGCTGAACTGAGAACCAGTGTTAAGTCAGATGCATAACTCACCGTGCATCAAAGTGTGGCTGCAAAGCCTTCATTGGAGACACATTTTGATGCATGTCTCCATCCATATTCCGGATTAATACTGTAATAATGTTATGAGTTTGTGTGGGGGGGGAAGTAGGCTGTATGCAGAGATCCTTCTAACCCCTGGATCCAGCAAGTGTTAAAATATAAGCCAGGCTAGCTTCGGTGTTG